GTAATTACAAAAAAAAAGTCAAAAAATAAACTTGACCTTCTGTTGTATTCATACTATCAAATATGTCCGTGCGTTGCAACGGAAGAAAAACAATTAGATTATGCCAGGATGAGATAAGGACTTTTAAAATGTCATTTCATAAATTATGTCTGAATAGTGTCATTATGAGATAAGGGACTTCTAAAAAGTTGATTCAAAAACTGAAAATGTGATGGTCTCATCATGATTTGATTTCCTAAGGCGCCACAAGAAATATATTTTTTAGGCTGAGCAAACTGCAATGATAGACCCTGCCTGAGCTAGACTGGTGAATGATCTGCCTCGCCTTGACCTGGCATCGCGGCGTTTTTCATGACCAGTAAAACTATAGTACCAAAATAAATATAGCTATGGAGGCAAATTAGACATTTAATCATTTTCATATAAGCTTACAAAAACTAACCCATAGGAAGTTGTGTCAATTTTTTTGGGGCCCAGCGTTGTGTAGACCACAAAAATCCTTTTTATACCCGACGCACGATAGACTAAATAAAATCATAAAGCTACCTTTAAAGATCCCCTAAAAGAACTCTATGTAAGCGGTGGTTTGTTTTGTTTGTTATTTACGGATCTGTTTGAATTTTTATAAATTTTTTTCTAAAATTTCATGGACATTATTTCCAAATTCCCGAATATGTTTTGAATACACATCTCTGAATTAACGGACATTTTATGATTTCTCAAAAAATTCTAAAACTCACAACTTTTTGAAATTTGGAAATTTTGGAAATCTCGGATTAATTTAAAGAAGGAAAATAAAAAACAGAAATAATAATAAGAAAAAAGGCAAAAGAAGAAATAAAAATAGGGGGTGTCACGCCTCTCACACATGGGCCGGCCCATACGCATGCCGGGAGGAGGAGGTGCGCTTGCATTAAGAAAGAAAATAAGAACTTTCTCAAAAAAAAAGAAAAAGAAAAAAAAAGGGGTGGATCCTAGGATAGAACGCAGGTCTCCGACCTGGGACACTGAGGTCTTGGCCACTGCTTTACTTCTCTGCTTGTTATATGAGGGTAACACTATATAAGAATCAAAGCCCAAGGAGACTTTGAAAACCACCCGAATCATTTTCTTCGCATATGTGTGACATAGTGGATAATTTATAGCAACTTCAGGGGTAGTATTTAGACGGACGACCAGAAGCAGTAATCTCTTTATTATTAGGTAGAGATAAGAAGTTTAGCCATGAAAAAAGAAATCCATGGCATTGTTGGTGACAAAAAAATAAACATTGTATACAAGTTACTATTTACACTTTTGTCCTTGAAATTTTCTTTCCCCCCCTGAAGTCTACGGGAATTACTTCCTTCCTGAAACTTTTTATATGAGTACAAAAGGTCAAGTTTATTTTAAAAAAGTTACAATTTTTTTGACTTTTCTTGAAATTTCTATTTTTTCTCATACCAGGTGTATACACACACACGCGAGAGAGACAAAGGGTATTTTTGGGAAGACTGGACAAGCACGCCTAATTCCTGAGTGTATATATACACCCCATATGAAAAACAAGCATTACAAAAAGTCCAAAAATTCTGAAACTTTTTTTGAAATAAACCTGACCTTCTATCGTATTCGTATAAAATGTTTGGCCAAGCAAAAAAAAAACCATTTTATTGATGATGAACAACAAACAAAAGCAGCACTATATACAAGTTACTATTCACACTTTTTGTCCTTGAATTTTTTTCCATGAAGTTGACGCGAATTTTTTCCTTCATGAAATTTTTTGTACGAGTACAACTGAAGGCCAATTTTATTTCAAAAAATGTTTCAGACTTTTTTGACTTTTTCTTGAATTTTTTACGTTTTCCCCACGTCAGGTGTATATACACCTGAGAGCCAAAATGGTATTTCCCGTAAGACTGGACAAGCACGTTTGGTTTCTGGGTGTATATACGCCCTAAATAAAAAAATAGTAACTACGAAAGTAGTCAGAAAATTCCGAAACTTTTTGTGAAATAAACTTGACCTGCTGTTGTATCGTATAAAATGTTTGGCCAGCGAAAAAATTCCATGGTATTGTTGGTTAAAAAAAATCAACACTGTATACAACTTTTATGCACACTTCTTGTCCTTGTGATTTTTTTTGTATTGAAGTGAATGATTTTTTTTCCTTCGTGATACTTTTTATACGAGTACAAGAGAAGGTCAAGTTTATTTAAAAAAAGTTTCAATTTTTTTGTTTTGTTTTAAATATTTTTATTCTTTTTCCCATATCAAGTGTACACCCAACAGCCAAAGGTATTTCCTATAAGACTGGAAAATCCCCTTTGGCTCTCGGGTGTATAAACAACTGATATAGGCAAAATTCAAGAAAAGGCAAAAAAATGTGAAAGAATTTTTAAATAAACTTGACCTTCTGTTGTACTCATGTTAAAAGTTTCACGAAGGAAAAACTTCACGCCGACTTCAAGGCTAAAAGACAAAATCTCAAGGTAAAAGTGTCAATAGTAACTTGTATATAGTCTTGTTGTTTTTATTTCCTAGGACAAACTTTTCATACGAATACAACTGAAGGCCAAGTTTATTATAAAAAAATATTTGGAATTTTTTGACTTTTTTTCAATCACTATTTTTTCATATCGGGTGTTTAAACACCGAGGAGGTAAACGTGCTTGTCCGTAAGATAGGACAATCACATTTGGTTTGTGGGTGTATATACATCCTATATGAAAGAAAGTAATTACAAAAAAGTAAAAAAAAAAGAAACTTCTTTAACTAAATATGACTCTCTGTTGTATTTGTGTAAAAAGTTTGGTCTAATGAAAATATTCATGATACTGTAAAAATATAAAATCAATATTATATACTCCCTCCGTCCGGAAATACTTGTCGGAGAAATGGATGTATCTAGACGTATTTTAGTTTTAGATACATCTATTTTTATGCATTTCTCCGATGAGTATTTTCGGACGGAGGGAGTACAAGTTATTATTCACGCTTTTTGTCTGTGTGATTTTGGTCTTTTTGTCCTGAAGTCGATGGGCATTTGTTTTCTTCGTGAAACTTTTTATACGACTACAACAAAAGGTCAAGTTTATTGAAAAAAGTTTAAGATTTTTTTTACCTTTTGTTTGAAATTTCTATATTTTCCCCCATATATGGTGTATATACACCCGTGATTCAAAGGGTATTTCCCAACTAGCATTTTTTTTTGTCTCAGCTCTCCTTTCGGTTGGTGCACAATTAGATGTACTACCTCTGTCCAAAATTAACTGCCGCTAAAATGAGTGATTCTACAACTGTCGCTGAAACGAGTGAATCTACAAAATGCGTCTAGTTACACTCATTTCAACGACAATTAATTCTAGAAGGAGGGAATAGTATTTAATCCTATGACGGGTTTGGAGTTCACCATTCGGTTAGAGCAAAAATTAGATCTATCTAGTGGTATGCCATATCAAATGATGCATCACGTGAACCATTTATCATTCCGCATATTATGCTACAAAGAGAAGAAAAGACAATAAAATAAACACATTGCTCTGTGTCGCGAGTGCTTTTGCTAACATTAATGTTTAGGCAACACCTAAATAATGAACATGTTTTGTACTTTTTCTGTCACGAACTGGATAATGTACATGCAATCTTCAGATTGACAGCAGAGAAGTAATGTATACTGATGTGAGTGTCAGGCACGTTTAAGTTAGTCTTTCCCGGGCACACTTTTCCTTCTAGTACTCCCTCCGTTTCATAATGTAGTGCCTATAGATTTTCTAAGAAGTCAAACTTTGTAAACTGACCAAGTTTGTAGAGAAAAATATTTATATCTACAATAGCAAAAATATATAATGTGAAACTACATCTTATGATGAATCTAGTGATATATGTTACGCACTCTAGATGTAAATTTTTTTCTCCACAAACTTGGTCAAAATTTGTAAGGTTTGACTTTTCAAAAAATCTATAGGCACTACATTATGAAATGGAGGAAGTATGTGGCTATGTGCTCTGTTTTTGGCTGCGATCCAAAAGCATGAAAGGCTTGTTAAGAGAATCTCATGGACAGATATAACAGATGGGTTACGAATGGATTGTTCATATAAGTTCAAGTAAAGTAAACCAGCCTGTCGTAGCGAGACAAATTAGATGTATACATGCGCTCTTGAGTGGAGTTTATGAGCATGAGCTTTGTAAACTGTGAAGCTTTATCCAAAAAGAAAAAAAGAAAACATTGTGAAGAAGAACTCATACTCTTTTCGTGAGAATTTCATAATAACTGATGGTTAATGTTTCAAAATTTCCGTACAAATGATGGACATAATACAGGTAAATTATATAAATCTGCAAAACTCTAACTTCAAATGCGTGAGAATATCATTTTCTCCTCATGTTATTGCTGCTTTTTTTCCAGAGAAATTGGCTGCCGATTCATTAAACTGAAAAGAAAAGAAATGTACAAAGATAATGTTGCGTCATGCCTGCGTGGGGAATGTATGCGTTGAAGCTTCTCCATTTGCTCAGTCTTGTTTTCCCGGATAACACAGCAGTAAAGAAATGCAGAGCCCAAGCAAAAATAAGCCTAGAGCAAGCGGCCCATCCCGAACGAGGCCCTGGCCCTTGCTCTCCACCAGAAGAAAAAAAATGGAGGGCTTCTTTGGATCACAGGATTTGCAAAACAAAGGAATAGAAAAAATGGAGGATTTGATTGCCATGACATAGCCAATTATGTGGATTTTTTCCAGAGGTCGGACCTCATGTGTAAATTCCTTTGAAATCAGCACCTTGGAGACACAATCCTGAGAAATTTTAATGGCCCAATTCTTTGTTGATCCAAATGCGTTTCATAGGAGACAATCCTGAGAATTGATATCCCATGAAAATCCTGTGAAAATCCTCCAATCAAAAAGGGCCGGAAGGGTCGACAAATGGAGGGAAAACTCTTCCGTTCTGAAAAAAAAAAGCTCTCCCCATCCCACTGCCTAGCTCGAAACCACCGCCGATACTCCCGACGGTAGCCCATGGAGGCGGCGGAGGGACCCCACGCCTCCGACTCGTCCGCCTCCCCTATCGGCGTCGACGCCCCCGCCTCCAACCCGGTACGTTCTCCTCGCCGCCCTCCGGCGCTGCGCGTACCGCTCGATCGATTCGCTGCCGCCGCCGCCGCCCCCTTTTATTGAAGTTCTGTGTTCTGAGCTCGTAGGTTGTCGCCGCCGGCGCGAGGAAGCGGAAGGCCCCGGCAGCGACTACGAGGAAGCCTCGGAAGCAGCAGGTTTGTACTGTACTGTAGCAATAAGTCAATAACCTGCCGTCGCAATCTTGCTTGCTTGTTTGATTCGTCTGAAGCTGTTCCATCTATGTGGTGTCATTGTTTGGTGTAGGCTCAAGAACCCATTCAGATCCCTGTATACTACGGACAAAGAGAAGAGTTTTATTGCGTGAAAGGCGATGATTTAGTTGATTGTTCATACATTTCTCCTAGAGCAAAAGATTGTGCACATGTAATCGGCCAACTACCGCCGCAGCCGCAGTCGATGTCGTTGGTGGATCTACAGCTCTGGATCTTTAAGCTGTTCCGGCTCCATCCAGAAACACAAGATCTCTCTATTAAGGGGTTCATCAAACAGCGCAAAACTGACTTGTTGGACGACTTCGAACCTGACTGGTATATGGAGTACTGCCCTTGGGACACATGTTACTTTCAAACTGACAAGTGCTGGAGTGCCTTTGCCAATAAATTAAAGCGGAAAAGGAATGTGATGCAAAAGTTCATGCTGTATGCAGAATGCTCTGAGATCAAGCATTATGCTATTTTGCTCAAAGCCGTGCATGATGATTACTCTCAGTTGGCAAGGGTTGTGTTTCCTGGGACAAAATGCCTGACAACTTCTAACTTCCGCTTCCTCCGCCTAGTGGAAGACCTGTCAATGACACCTAAGGAAATTATAGCTTATCTCGCTAAACACTATGGCGAGCAGATGAGCCCCCCTGAGGCGTGGAGGGCAAGGCAGAAGGCTCTGGAGCGTGAGTATGGTACATTTTACGATTCACACAACTTTGCGCCGAGGTTACTTAAGGATATAACATGTAAAACCCCTTGGGGTTTTGTAGACATCAAGGATGCAGAGGTTGCAGGATGTAACAACTTTCGAGTACTCCACCGTATATTTTGGGCTTTTGGGCAGTGTGTGCCGGCTTTCAATCATTGTCGCCCTGTGCTATGCATTAAAGGCACACCACTATGCGGGAAATATCAAGAGGTGTTGTTGACTGCTGTAGCATTAGATGCTAATGGTTACTCCATTCCAGTAGCATGTGCCGTCGTTGAGGGGGAGACCAAGGAAAGCTGGATGTGGTTTCTTAGGAATTTGGAGCAAGCAGTGAGGCATCCATCGGATGTTTGCATTGTACATGACTACAAAAGAGAGTTGATCGATGCTATAGAGGACTTTCTAAGTTCCGATCAGCAACAATGGGGGAAAGTAGAAAGCCGGTGGTGCATGGAACACCTTGCCGAAGACTTCTTTGCATATTTTGGCGACAAGAACCTGGGTTGCTGTTCAAGAAACTTTGTCAGCAGAGGCGACTAAATAAGTTTGTTAAAATCTGGAAGGAGCTCGATGAGTGACAACAAAATATACAGCAGAGAGAGAAGGTGGTACTAGTGGGGAAATGCAGCAAGAGTTAGGCCAACTCCACCGCGCGACCCCAAACGGACGTCTGTTTTGTCCGGTTTTTGTCCCTTTGGATAGGGATTTGGGGTCGTGTCCGGGCCTGTCCTGGGATGCGGTGGCCGTGCGCCCAGCGCGCGGACGCATCCCGGCCGCATCCTGTCCGCGTATTATTTCTTTGCAAGTCCTTAACTTTATTTCATCATTCATTTTTGGTACATGAAAAATACATCATCACATTTTGACTGGTAAAGCAAGACCAAAGAAAACAAGAACCACAAGAATACATTTTAGAAGACACCCAACTTCCATAACTGCTCCCTTTAAGTTGGGTTAGGGCCTTCTCGATGCACTCGTTGTTGATCTGTGGAGGAGGAGGCTCGATCTGGCATCCTCCTTTCTTCTTCAAGACAGAAGTCGATGTTGCTTCCTCCTCACACCTAGTCTCGTGTCTAGCCTCTAATCTAGCAACAAGTGCACTTGTCTCATTTATAGCCTCTATGCTAGCTAAAAGTGCACGAACATGTACTAAATTTCGCTCTATCAATATATCGATGTACTCTTCTTCCCAATACCAAAACTTGCATCCATTCTACACAACAAAATTTGAAGTTAGCACAACTAGTTAAATCTAGAGCACAAACCGAAGCTAAAGAAAGCGCATACCCCATCGTTTAAGCACTTGATGAACACCCATCCGGGATGTTCCGGCGTTGTAGACACGCGGTGCACGACCATCCTTGGGCAGTGGTCGCACTTAATGAGTGGCAACGGTGCGCCGACGAGCTTTTGGGCAAGCACCGAGCCCGGCCGACCGCCATTCGTGTATCTGCCGGCGGACCACCGACGGTGCAGATCCGAGCGGCTAGAGGAGGAGCCACTGCCTGCATGTGGCCTTGCGGCCCTGCTAGGGCCTTCCGGTGAGGTGCCCGGCCAGTCCATGGCGCGGCCCGGCCTCCCACAGCCGGCCGAGCTCAAGACCGACCGGATCCGCCCCAAAACCGGCCGGCGGGTGCGCAAACCAGGTGGCCGTGGTTGGGTAGCTCGGCGGCGCCGAGGGGAAGGGGTTGGGTGAGCTCGCGTCCGAACTGCACGGCTGCAATGGCAGCGGCGGCGACGGCAGCGACGGGAAGAGTGGAGGGGGTGCGGCCGGATGGAGGGAGGGTGGCGGATAGAAAAAGGCCCATCTTGTGCCACCAACGGGCGGGCCAAGGGGGGACACGCGCAGACGACCCGCGTGTCCGCGTGGTGTCCGTTTCACCCCAAAAGCGGCGCAAGTTTGGGCCGGGAATGGGTCGAAAGCGGACACAAAGCGGACAAAAGTTCGTTTGCTCCCGCGCGCTGGGCCGCCTTTTTTGTTCCTTTTACCCCAAACGGACGGGGCCGGACAGGATAGGATCGCGCGGTGGAGTTGGCCTTAGTCCAGCATGATGAGGCAGACCTGGTGGCACAAAGCCCATGCAACCGACCTGATTCAGTGGACTCTGAGGAGGAAGGAGATCATGCCAATGAAAACGAAGGAAAGGTAACAGAGTTTTCTGACTGGATCTGTTAGGATCAAGTACTCTACCAGGTCTAGGGCGTAGGTGGTAAGGGAAGGATGGAGGGAGACGTGGCGAGGATCGGGCGCGCCGGCGGCAGGGCGCCGTCGCGGCTAGGAGAAGGGCGGCGGCTAGGGTTGTTGGCGGCTAGGGTTCCGGCTCCTCAGGGAGCCGGGCAATAGGAGATAATATTCTTCTTATTGCTTGCCCTCAAAAAGAGTCTTACAACCTATATTTATATCCTAGATAACTTGTAGAAGAATCAACCTAAGATAACTTGCCTAAGATAACTTGCCTAATCTGAAAATAAAAAACTAAGATAACTTGCGGGCCTAAGCCGGCCGGCCATAACACTTCTCCCCGCCTGCACAAACAGCTCGTCCTCGAGCTGTAAGGTGGGGAAGCGCTTGCTTGAACTCTTCGAGGTAATCAACCAGCGTCAAACACCTTCTCGACATCTGGGGCGGCCAGGTCGACGGCGACGGCGTCCTCCGGAATGTAGTCTGTCACCTCCAGGTAGAAGAGTCGCGGGCAGGCGTGGCCGGGCTTGTAGGGTTCGTCGCAGTTGAAGCACAACCCTTGGCGGCGACGCTCGAGTATCTCAGCTGGGGTGAGCCGGCGGAACGAGCGCCCCGCGGTCGCGGCAAGGGGTGTCGCAGAAGCCTGCACAGGCCGACCCTGCGCGGGATCCGGTCCGGGTAGCGACCCAGCAGTCTGGGACGGTGATTCCTGCTGGATGGCCACCGCGCGGCGCTCGAATGCGCGGGCATAATACATGGCCGACTGGAGATCCTGGGGTCCCCGAAGCTCCACGTCCACGCGGATATGGTCCAGTAGACCGCCCACAAATAACTCGGTGCGCTGAGTTGCGGAGACGCCCGGCGCGTGGCACGCCAGGGCCTGGAAGCGGTCGGCGTAGTCCTGCACCATGGATGTGAAGGGTAAGCGGCCGAGGGCCGCCAGTCGGCTCCCGCGGATAGGAGGCCCGAACCGGAGGAGACAGAGTTCCCGGAAGCGCTCCCATGGTGGCATGCCGCCCTCGTCCTGCTCGAGGGCGTAGTACCAGGTCTGCGCTGCGCCTCGGAGATGATAGGACGCGAGCCAGGTGCGATCCGAAGCGAGCGTCTGTTGCCCTCGAAAGAACTGCTCGCACTGGTTGAGCCAGTTGAGGGGGTCCTTCGTGCCCTCGTAGGTGGCGAAGTCCAGTTTGGCGAAGCGAGGGGGTGTCGGCCCGCCGTGCCCGGGGGCGGCCGTAGTTGCCGCCGGCGCGTATGCTGGGTCGGGAAGCGCCGGGGCGTAGTTCGCCGAGCTGGAGGGGTGATCAAACCGCAGGGAGGGCGTCGGGTGTTCCGGCGCCGTGGAGTAGACCGGCCCCGAAGACGAGCCGGTCGCCCAAGCGGGGATCGGCGATGGTGACGGTGGAAACTGCACCTGGTGCAGGGGCCGACCCGTAGCCCTAGGCGCGGGTGGTGGTACTGTCGATGGCGGCGGCGCCTGGTGGAGCTGCACCGGCGCCTGCGGCGTGGGGGCCGGCGGTGACGCCGGAAGAAGCTGCTGGGTCTGGCCCTGCTCCGAGGCGCCGGTGCCCAGGTTAGGGCTGGGCGGGGCCGGTGGAGGACCCTGCTCCGAGGCCGCTGGAAGATAGGGCGCGACGGAGGACGGCGCGGCCGGCGCGGTCCAGGTGGGCCACTGCGGCCCCGTGGTGGCGAGAAGTGGCGGGGCTGCCGGCGCGATCTGCGGCGGCCACTGCGCCCAAGGCGGTCGTGCGGCCGCTGGGGCGGGGAGCGCCGGGACGGCCCCCGGTGCCGAGTACCACGGAAGCGCCTGCTGACCCGCGGCCATGGCTGGATGGAGTCCGGTGATGGCCCCCGATGCCGAGTACAACGGAAGCGCCTGCTGACCCGCGGCCATGGCTGGATGGAGTGGTGGGGGCGGCCCGTACGGACCTGCCAGGTAGAGGCAGATCCCTTGAACCGCGGTGACGAGGTCGTTGAGGACGCCCGCCATGGCCTCCGGCGTGAACTGTTGCGGCTGCGGGGGAGGTGATGGCGGCGACGAGTGTTGGACGGGGGCCTGTGGCTGCCCTTGGCCCGGCGTGGTGCCGGGTGCCGTTAGGACCGGCACTGAGAGCGACGCAGTGGTGCCCGCCGAGAGTGAGGCCGTGACGCCCGGCGCAGAGGCGGCGGTGGTGGAGGAGTTGGCGGGCAGCGGTGGTGGTGGCGGTGGAATTGGCGGAGACATGGTCGAAACCCAGTTACCTGATACCAAATTGTTAGGATCAAGTACTCTACCAGGTCTAGGGCGTAGGTGGTAAGGGAAGGATGGAGGGAGACGTGGTGAGGATCGGGCGCGCCGGCGGCAGGGCACCGTCGCGGCTAGGAGAAGGGCGGCGGCTAGGGCTGTTGGCGGCTAGGGTTCCGACTCCTCAGGGAGCCGGGCAATAGGAGATAATATTCTTCTTATTGCTTGCCCTCAAAAAGAGTCTTACAACCTATATTTATATCCTAGATAACTTGTAGAAGAATCAACCTAAGATAACTTGCCTAAGATAACTTGCCTAATTTGAAAATAAAAAACTAAGATAACTTGCGGGCCTAAGCCGGCCGGCCATAACAGGATCCGTCTGAAACCAATGGAGAAGTGGTCACTGGTGCATGACACGAAGGGAGCTAGGTACGGCATCATGGGCGCTGATATATCAAATATATACAAGAATGACCCTGTATTGAAAGGGATAACATGCCTTCCGCTCAGTGCGATAGTGGAGGTGACATTTCTGCGCTTGGTAGAGCACTTCAAAAACACAAGTGCTGCAGCAAATGAAGCAATTGGCAACCCATCAATGAACTTCCCTGAACGGGTCCAGAATGACATGAATTCAAAAATGCAGAAATCCAAGATGCATTGCGTGATTTGCCTAGACACCAAAACAAGAAATGTTTTCCAGGGGAAAGAGTTTCGGAATTTTACAGTTCAGTCGAGGCAGAAGAATGAGGTTGTTCACCTGAAATCGGAAAGCATAAGTAAGTTTGGCGAATCCACAATACAAGAAAGTGCCACCTGTTCATGCAACAAACCACAGCTGCTTCACATGCCCTGCACTCATGTCATTGCCGTCTGTTGTCAGATTGGGGTTAGCACTGCTACATACATGTCTCCATACTACAGCCTGGCCTACCTAGGTAGGATCTGGAGTGGAAATTTTGATGAATATAAGATCTCACGCAGCTACAGAAATATCACGCCATTTGAATGCAATACAACAACTTGGATCCCAGACAAAAGATTGGAGTGTGGTCTTCCTGTTTTTGTAACATCGGACTGCCTAGAAACTGTTGCGGATGAGTCAGAGCAACAATGCAACACTGGAAATGGATCTACTGAAGACAATCAAGGAGCTACAACACGCGCTGAAGAACCTAATGAGATTTAAACTTCTGTTATCACCTATCAAGGTATTAACATTCTGGTCCCTAAATATGCAGTAGTCACTGTCGAGCTTATCCTATGTAAACTCTGAACCTCTGGTATTATTTGCAGTGCATGAAAACTGAATTTAGGCATATTAAGACAATATGGTTACTACGCCCATGGAAGACTGCAAATCAACCCCTCTATATCATGGATTATGAGTCCAAGGACTAGTCAAGACTAGTCTGTGAGTCTCAACTTCAGGCCCGGCTAGACTTCAGTGTCGACTAGTCTTTGAGTCGAAACTTCAGTGTCAATTCGTGTCGATTAGTCACGCTTAGTCTATGAGTCTCAACCTCAGAATGACTTGTCGACTCATCGACTCGTAAACCTTGCTCTATATTATTATTTTTCCAGTAGTTTACACCGTTATAGTTTGATAATTTTGTTGGAACTCTTGCATGCTCGAATGCCAAATTGTTCTAGAAGACATCATTTCTTGTTTAAACATATTTTTCTCTGCAAGCAAGAATGTTGCCAAGATTTGTGCATCGTGAATAATTTCTCTGAATCCATATGCAAATGCGGTACAGAGTTCCAGTCTACAGTTTTTTTTAAGTAGCCAGTCTACAGATTTGCCATCAGGTGTTGACATGCTGCTTTCAGTTTGCTCTGTTAGCACATTCACCTGTGTTAAGTTGGTCTTCCCAAAAACAAATATAATAATGCTATGTTTTTTCCCAGGAGAAACTGAATGAGTACTGCGTATTCATCATTAAATTGAAAATATATGATATGTACAGAGATAATGTTGCATTATTGGTCAATTCTTTGCTACTGTTCTTCATCATTCATCATGTTTTTTTCTTGGGAGGAAAGTAATTTCCTGCTGTATTTCTTCCGTTGTGTGATCAGTGAAGAAACAACATACTATAAAGAATGATAATGCATTTTTCTGCAGTTCTGCTGCATTTTTATGCTTACTGTTGGATGATGAAACAATTTCCAAGATCTTTCTGAACTTCTTTACGTGTACAGACAGAGGACCATTCTGCACTCAGTTCTTCTTCTTATGTGTTTTTCCTTCAGAACGTTTTTCATTTGGTGTTCATGACACCGATTCCTAACCTCATCGAACTAGCTAAGTTGCTTGATTAGACTGATGAATAATCAACCAGCCATTCTTGAGTTGGAACAGGCCAACAGCCATGTCCATTAAATGAATAAAATCACTTTCGCCCAGAAAGATTTTGAATGAAAGCACATGAAGCTGGACGGCTGGACCATGTTTAATTCTTTTCGCTGCAGACACCCTTTTCTTTTCGCGATGTGCTATGAGCACCCTGCGACCGTTGCTACTGGTGGTGATAATCTCACTGATTACTTCCCTCCAGAACTAAATATGGCGCCGGGGCACGTCGCACCCGTGCTCGGGAGGAGATGTGTTTGCTAGGTGATGATATTTTGTACTCATGATAATGATAGGAAAATATGGTGTTACATATATATGATCGGATATTCAATTCGGTGGTTGGGGCTGATCTGCACCTGGTGAACAGTAAATTCAAAAAAATATAAAAAAAATCTGAATTTTTTTAGTGGAAGATATTCCAATTCGAGATGTTCTTGCCAAATTTCAGCTTGTTCGGACATCTGAGGAGCTCATGGCAAATAAAGACAAAATCGGTCAAAACAGTATGTGAACAGTAACTTTCTTACATCCCCAAAATTTATCTTTTTTACTGAGAGCTACTGAAATGTCCAAACTTCACGAAATTTGTCATGGACTTCACGCACATGAGCATCTAGCATCACAAAAAAAATCATTTCTCTTTGATTTTTTTTACTATTTTAAACGAATTTACTGTTCCGCCAAAATGTTGCGTCCAGTATCCACCATTTTTTGTTAAAATAATGGCTTGGATTATACGATTATATTATTGCGGTAAGGATCTTCCATTCAACTCCTTCCGTTTTCAAATTAATTGAAGTTTCAGTTTTTTCACAAGTCAAACTTATCTGCTTTTAACCAAATACATTGCAAATTTTGATAGTGAAATCTATATTCATTTGGGAGTCGGAAATAAAAAAACAAGTTTTCCATGAATAGTTAGGTCAAAAAAATGTTGCACTTTTTTTTCACTATTCATTGCTGAATTTTTTATTGTTCATACCTCCCAAATGATTTTCAGATTCATATTTGTACATGTTTGCACTGTAACATGGTTTCCATCTTGTACTGTTTCTTCTAGGGGTGTCTGATGTTTTATTGCGAGCTTTTTTGGGAGAGTTCTTTCTCAGTGGGGACGAGAGCCCACAGCCTTCTCACAGCCTAGGTACAACCGTTGAACCTCCTGGCGAGCGGCCCTGTTATGACCGGCATATTAGGGGCTTAGCCCAGTGGGCTGTGGTCCAAGTTATCTTATCGTTATTAAGGGGCTTAGCTCAATTATTTTATCGTTATTAGAGTCGTTTGTTTAGAAGTCAAGTAATCCTCTCTATATAAGAAGATGAGATGTATCAATCTAATCAAGCAAGAAGCAATCATTGTTTGCTCGGCTTCCCTTAGGGAGCCGGGAGACCTAACCCTAGCCGCCTCTTGCGCCGCCGCTGCCGCCTCTTCTCCACCACGCAAGGACGGCGCCCAGCCGCCGGCCGCCGCGCCCTCGTCCTCGTCTTCCTCCATCTTTCCCCTACAATCTTCGCCCTAGAACCGGCAGAACCCTACCTCCTAACACATTGGTATCAGATAGCTCAGTTTCGATCGTGTGTTCGCCGCTGCCCATCCCGTCGCTTCCGCTGCCGACCGTCACCACCGCGCCGCTGCCCTCCCCGTCCGCGCCGCTGGTTGCATCCTCCGGCGCCGCCACCACCCAGATGACGGCGCCCTCCACCGCACCACCGACCGCCGTCTACTCCCCGGCGGAGATCACCGGGGTCCTCAACGATCTCGTCACCGCCGTCCAGGGGATACGGCTATACCTAGCTGTAAGTGCATCTAGTGCCCCTTAGTGATTTTGGTGTATTGAAGACTTATAGGTTAAGGATCTAATGTGTTTATGAGTGTACACAGGTCTATAAGTCTATGAGGAGTTTGATATTTACAGAGAAAGTCGACCCCTAAAAATGAAGTTCTTCGACTGAAGACTTTGATATTCTGAAGACTTTCTGAAGACTTTGAAAGTGAAGAAATTGTGTGACCTTGAAGACTTGGTATTCATTCAAGGAACATGAAGCGTGAAGACTTTGTTTTCGTAGTTTCATTTTCTCTTTCTTGAGTCATAGGAAACACCGTACTGTTAAAGGGGTCGAGGAAATACTAAGGAGAAAATTTCCAGGTGATGCTCAACTCAAATCCCACACCTACCAATCCCTTCGAGTGAAGCCATTGGGAATCTCATACAGTTCAGTCAATTTCTTCAGTGACAGAGACGCAGTTCTTCTGGTCACTGAGGACTTTGCTCTGACCGAGGAGTTAGGAATTCGCTAGTGCGAATTGCCTACACTGTGAGGAACATGATAGCCCTGAGGAATCTGAACCTCAAATTTCCGACCGTTGCTGTGCTACGTGCCAGCTGTCCCAAAATATCTTATCCATCCAACAGTCATATCATTGAAGGGCATTTATGTCTTATCATATCGGGCTGCTCCCTAGGCTATAAATAGCCGCCTCCTACAACCACTAGCTGGTTGGCTGCTCCGCGAGAACTTGACACTTGTCATTTGAGAGCAACCCATCCTCCGAGGACTTTGAGCAAAAATCATCAAGTGAGGAAAATCCAAAACCCAAACCCAAACACCTACAAACCGAAAGTGATTGAGCATCACTGAAGAGATTGATCCTGCGTGGATCCGACGCTTGTTACCTTTGAAGACTGTGCTTCTTCCAGACGGTTAGGCGTCATGGTCTAGAGCATCCAAGAGGAATTGTGGATCGCCGAGTGACCGAGTTTGTCAAGGTTCGGAAGTCACCTGAAGACTTACCACGAGTGATTGGGCGAGGACTGTGTGTCCTTAGCTCAAGGAGAATACGGTGAGGACTGTGTGTCCGGGACTGGGTGTCCTCAGGTTTAAATACCTAGCCGCTCCAACCAGACATACAACTAAGACAACAATTGGAACTGGTCTACCAAATCATTGTCTTCACCAAGCCGACTGGTTCTATTTCCTCAACACTTTCATTTCCTCATTAATGTGTTGCATGTTTGTTCATATCTGTGTTTGAAGACTTTGACTGAAGACTTCCTCAATTTCCTCAGTTCAATTTCTTCAGTCTGTTTGTCTTCATCTTGTGCTATCCTGTGTTTACGCTTTCTGTACTCTGTGTTTGTCTTCATTTCATCATGATGACCATGCATGTATTCTGCTATGTTTACTTCTGAGTACTTATTTCGCTGCTAGTAGTTCTTCGCTAAGGAATTTCCTCACTGGCAAATTCCTTAGTGAAGAATTTCATAAAAAACACCTATTCACCCCTCCTCTAGTCGATATAACGCACTTTCAATTGGTATCAGAGCAAGGTACTCCCTTTGTTCTGTGTGATTTTGGTTTAACCACCTGGAGTTTTAGTTATGTCGACCGCAGGTATGATCAAGGTCTCTGTTGGGTGTCCTACCTTTGATGGGACGGACTACCCCTACTGGAAGAACAAGATGCGCATGCATCTTGAGGCAATTGATAACGATCTATGGTGCATTGTGGAAAATGGTGTTCCCTCCGTCTCACCCTCACTGAACGCTACCGATGTGAAGAGATTCAAGCAACTCGATTCCCAAGCGAAGAATATCATATGTGACCATCTGAGTAAAGGACAGTATGGTAGAGTGAGTGCTTTGGAAACTGCTAAGCTTATCTGGGATAGGCTGTCCAAGGTTAATGAAGGAGTTTCAACTCAGCGTGACTCTCGAGTTGATGTTCTTCGCAATCTCTTCAACCGCTTCAAAAGACTCGACAATGAAAATGTTCAGCAAACCTTCGATCGCCTCACTGACATCTCAAATGAGCTTCAAGCACTTGGTGCCA